GCGTAATTTCGTTTTAAGCGTTACGTTTATAATTATAAAGATGCTGATTTTGCTGAGTTACGAAATCTCGTAAAGTTTGTACCTTGGGATTTAGCCTATGAGGAAGATGACATGGAACTTTCAACCGCCAAGTGGTTGGATCTCTTTCTCGCAGCTGTAGACGATTGTGTTCCTAAAATAAAAGTTGGATCGGCTAATAGTGCTCCATGGATTGACGCAGAAGTTCTGAAAGCTGTGAGAAAGAAAGAGAGACTCAGAAAGAAAGCTAAAAAGTCCTCCTCTGTTTATCACTGGGCAACTTTCCGAAGGTGTCGGGCGGAACTCAAGTCCCTCATCAAATGGAAACGTAAACAGTACTTTAAAGGACTATCATCTACTTTGACAGAGAATCCCAAGCGATTCTGGGCTTTTTATCAATCCAAATATAAGAACAAAAGACTTCCATCTTCTGTCCGATACAATGGAGCGCGAGCCAATGTGTCTGACGCTCGGGATAAAGCTGAGTTATTTAACAGCTATTAATTAATTATTAATTAACTATTTAAGGGTGATGACTGTGTCCCTTTGCATGAAGACTGCTTTCTGTCAATATATATTAAAATTCTCAACGGTTGCTCGTGTAACGTAACACCGCGTCACACAACGCGTGACGCTTTCATGAAACAAGTCCTTCGCTTTAATTTTCCTCGAGGCGTGAGCTTGGGACGCCTGTGCTGATACGAGTGCCTTTGTACATCTTTGAAAATATTTTAATCATGCTTGTTGCGTACCAATTTATATTTCACCGTTCGAGTAGACAATTGTTAAAATTAATCATTATTTTGTAAGAAAGTTATCCTATTTGAGTTGCAAAGCAGCTGGAGAATGACCGCAATGTTGTTTCTTTTATACGTCTACATTTCTTACCAGAGAGGAGTTCTTTCGGTCTTTCAGCCTTTAAAGATCTCGCCATTCGACCATTCTCTTGTATAAAACTGGATCAGTGAAACCATTATCGAGGAGATCGAAGGTGTTTGCTGACCTGCTGGTAATTTAAGATTGTTATATGTCGCAACACAACAACAGCCAAACATAGGAAAAAGAAGGAAAGAAAAAATATGTAGTCCAATGGCTCAATGGTCCATAAACGAAATAGAAATTTCACAACTCTGCAAAAAGGTTCCGAACCTGAAAGACCTAAGGACTGAAAGACACGACGTATGAAGATCACGAGAAAGCGACGCTAAGTGAGGCGAGGTAACCAAGGGAACAGGTTAAATATGAATAGGTAATAAATAAAGACGACTGAAGTTCAGGCCTTATTGTGGCACACAATGCCGAAGAATTAACGACCATCTTCATCGCTTGAAGCCCATCATTCGGTGTCACTACTGTCTCTGATGTTCTATGTAGTACACCCAAAAGAAGGTCGGCGGACGAATTCGACTTCGTGGCGTGTGCAAGATATTTTGTAACATGTCGCTGTGGCGTATTGGCATCAGTTTTTTCGGAAGATGGATCGTTCGGCGGCGGCTTACTTTCGGTGTCGTGGTTATTAGTATTTCTCTCATAGGCTGTTTGTTGCTGTTTTCTTCCCCAAAGAGTGAAAAATTTCAACCTTCTGTTAGTACTATTCCGTGTAATTGTCCGGTCTGTGCGAGCAGTCAACAATCAGAACCGAAAGCAACCGTTGAAGGACCTTTAGCGGAAGAACCTACACTTATTACACGGGAACTGAAGCGCGGCTCTCTAAATCTTCACGTTTGGTCTGAAGTATGCGGCACGAGTGTCGATAATTTAAGAAATTGGCCCCATTTTCCTTATGACCCACACAGGCGCTCATCTGTAACGACATTTCATTTTAACGAAAATCCCGCTTCAAAATCCACTGGATATAGATTCTTTGGATTCGTCCATCCTCGGGAAAGCGGTGAGTACAAGTTTGCTATATCATCCGATGACACATCTGAATTATGGTTAAGTTCAAATGAAGACCCTGCTTCCAGTACGTTGATCGCTCGTGTTTATTCTCGTACTGAAAGTGCTTGGACTACAGACGGAGACTACAAAAAGTATGCGGAGCAAATCTCTAAAGAGGTCACCCTTCACGCCGGTAAAAAATATTACATTGAGTCTTTACTCAAACAGGAAGCTGGGGCGGTTCATTTGGCCGTGTATTGGTCTCGTAATTCAACTTTCGAAATCATAACCTCTGATTACTTGACGAGCTATGATGATATTCCCCTACATGTGGCCAAACAGCGCAGCTTTATACTCCAAAAGAAACGGAAGTTGTTTTATTTTCATCGTCTTCCTCTCATTGACCGTTCTCAATATGATGGCACTTTGCCAAACTGTTCTTACATCCCGAGCTTTCTGGTGCGCAAGAAACTAGTTAAATACGAAAGTGTTTGGATCCAACGGGAGTCACACGTGTACCCGCGTGATGATACGATTGTGACCAAGACGGCCAGGACTAACGAATGGACGCACACCAACAAAGTTGCAGATAAGGATCGAGTAACCGCTGTCGTAAACAACTTTATGAATTCTTTACCGTCCGGGTAAGTTTACAATATTTTAGCTTAAGTGGTGGTGTGCTTGTGAGAAACATCACAAAGGGCAGGCTGCACTTGTTTAAATGACAAATATTTGCATACTTGCCAGTGATTAAAGAGTAATTGTCGGCTAAAGAAGTCGCAAATGATTAACTATTGTCAGTAACGGGGTAAGTTTCTAAAACTGTGGTGCTGCGTCGGTGGGGGTAACAAGGTAATTTGATTTTATTGACTAAGTTGAAATTGTAAGTTGGCCGCCGTAAAGAGTTAAAAAAGCTGACTTTTCGAGCGTTAGCCCTTCGCCAGAGCGAAAGTCAGTAAAGTCTGTGGGGCGGCGCGGCGCGAAGATATGTCACAGCGACAGTTTGCTCTGTATGAGTGACGCGATTATAACATCACGAGAAAATTACAGACCCATCCAAGAGCATAGGGAAAAGGTAATGAAACGTTGCGTGAACAAAATTCTCCTGAAAGAACACGTTATTACAGGAAAACTTTTTCTTCTCATTTTTTTTTTAACATGTAAGAACCAAATTTGAGTCGGTAAGTTTTTGTTAAACTCGAATTTTTTTTGAGTCAAACAAGTTATTTTACGATACTGCTCACCTTTTTTTATTCATTAATTTTTTTTTATAATTTTTTTTCTCTGCGCACGCCCTACATTGCGTCACAATACATATATCTTCTCATTTATCACTTTCACGGGTTCATTACGAATCAACTCAACGGCCTGCTCTCAGTTGGCTTGTTAGCTCAATTGGTTAGAGCGCTGCACTAGTATCGCAGAGGTCAGTGGTTCGAGTCCCGTACAGGCCTGATTTTTTTCAGGTCTGAATTTCGCTATTGCTTAAATAGCGCTATCTACTGCGAGGATCGTGCATCATACGTATCAAATACCGCAGTTCAAAATATATGATTTTCATATATTTATTCTATCTCATTTATCACTTTCACGGGTTCATTACGAATCAACTTAACGGCCTGCTCTCAGTTGGCTTGTTAGCTCAATTGGTTAGAGCGCTGCACTAGTATCGCAGAGGTCAGTGGTTCGAGTCCCGTACAGGCCTGATTTTTTTCAGGTCTGAATTTCGCTATTGCTTAAATAGCGCTATCTACTGCGAGGATCGTGCATCATACGTATCAAATACCGCAGTTCAAAATATATGATTTTCATATATTTATTCTATCTCATTTATCACTTTCACGGGTTCATTACGAATCAACTTAACGGCCTGCTCTCAGTTGGCTTGTTAGCTCAATTGGTTAGAGCGCTGCACTAGTATCGCAGAGGTCAGTGGTTCGAGTCCCGTACAGGCCTGATTTTTTTCAGGTCTGAATTTCGCTATTGCTNGGCGTCTTGTATTTGTTTGATTATTGATGTAATTTACTGTTTCTTATATATTCTGACTTTTATAATCTGTAGTAACCTCTTGAAATAGTGCGAATAAAAAGTTTCAGTTCAGTTTTAGCTTCTACTTTCTCAGTTGTTCGCTGAAACTTTAACAACCGCTCAAACAATCTAGCGTTCGTGACGTTGGCGTAGCAGTTGACGTCTATGTTAAGCGTAGATTCTATAATTTCAACGAAATTGTGAGAAGTTTTCCCAAAAATATATACTCTATCTTTACCAGGGCACAACGATGAACATGTGAAACATTTCGAGCTCTCATCGACAAATTTCTTCAGTGTTTCTCCCGACATGATAGCTAGATCATCTGCCACATCCACATTTTCGCGTGAAACCTTACGTCATTCAGATTTTCTGGTATGTGATTGGTCTGTTCAATAGACCGCGACCAAACCGCAAGGACAATGAGAAAGGAATGTAGTTCGGTTGTCAACAGCCGTTTTTTTGGGGGAGCGTTGCGTGACATCCAAAAAAACGGCTGCGAGGGAGACTACGATCTTGTGCGATGCGAGAAAACCTGTGTAACCGGTACTCTAAAATAGACGAGTACAAATACCGCGTGATATTTGTACTCGTCTATGGCGTTATTTGTACTCGTCTAAGTGTAGTTGGATAATAATAACAGTTATGGTTCTTACAATACTCTTACGATACAACTAATTTTTATGCTACTTACATTATTCTACTCGCACAATTTATAAAGTGATACTGCAAACAACACATACACATCTAGAGACATTATTTACAAAAAAAAAATTGAAATTGGTTCACAAAATATCAACAGTTATGAAAGACAAAAGGCTAAAATGTGAGTAGGATAGATAACAGTAATTGCTTGAAAGAAACCCAGAAGTACAGCGTTTAGCAAACTTGATTTTCAGAGGCTTACCATCTGGATAAGGAAAGCCTATAGGACACTTCTCGTCTTGTTAATTATAGTTGGCACTCATGGCATGCAAACAAAGAACAATGTCATAAAAACTTCTTTATATCTTCATTAAAGCGGATATAATTGAATGAACAACACGCATACACCTGTGGTGCAGTGTTAGTGGAGGTTGTTAAAAGATAATTTGGTTTTGTCAACTGAGTTGATAAGGTAAATTAGCCAAGGCTAATTTATTTTAAAGCTGACGTTTCTAGCGTGAACCCGACGTCAGAAGCTCTGACAAAGGGCTAATTGACGTTCCAAACGTCAACTTTTGTGACACCTGCACACCACAGTTTCTTTAGAAATTTGCATATCTTTACCTTAACTGTTTGAGTGTGCACGAGTGATTCACTTTGGATGGCAAAGCATATTTATAAGCACTACACGTATGCGTGCACCTCTATGACCTTTAGTTCCACAGAATGTTCTTTGATAACTGCGGTAACCACTTGTTTTGAACAGTCTAGTTCATTCTAAAGTGAATCACTCGTGTGTGCCCAAACAGGTTACGTTTTGTCTTCTGTCAGAGAGCCACCTCAATATTTTTATATTGTGAAATACATGAGTAGCTAGCTCTTAGAAACCAGAGAAATCCCTTAAAAGGGAAAGTTTTTTTGCAGAAACTAGTACGATTTTTAAACAAAAGCCTGATTCCAAAGAAAATAAGTTAGACTGAAAAAAAGGCACACATTTTGAAGGAAGTACACAGATTGAAGCATAGTTAGTAGTCCCCTTTACTAACTATGATTGAAGTTTCTCATACAGTCTTTTTAATTTCGGTGCGCTCGTAGTATATCGTTGATATTGAATTGTGATATTTCGTCTTTTCGATGTGTTTCCCCTCCTCTATATGTCTCTTTGAGATGACAGAAATTAATCATGTACATTGTTCGCAACAGTTGACACTTTCCTGACAGGTGTATCCTTTCCTTTGTAATGCAAGTTGAGGTTGGAATGAAATCATAGATGTTGATACTTAGCCCAGCGTAAAATGAGCGTTATATATGAAAGTTACAAATCTCCTCGGGATCGCTCAGCAGTTCCTCGTCGATATTTAAACACATCTAGAATCTTTGGCTACTATGCTTGTCCAAAAGGGACAATATATTAAGATGTATTTATTTACATCTAGTTTTTTATATCTATGTCAAGATTAGATTACACATATCAAGATTTGCAGACACTTAAAACAAGATTTCAATATACGTATCAAGATTTACGTACACGCATAAAGATCCGCTTGCAAGTACATCAAGTCTAATAAATATAGATCAAGTTTCTCTTACACGGATCGACAATCAAATATTATATCGAAGTTCGCGTACCGACATCAAGATTTGCATTTACACATCAAGATTCGCATTTATACATCAAGATTTTTACATCCAGATTGTGATAGGCTTGTGTGAGGTACTAAGGGAAAAGTTTGCCTGGTTACTTAGCACGATATTAAGCGTAAACATAAATCTTACCTAGCATACGTAAATCTTGATACGTATATTGAAATCTTGTTTTACGTGTATACAAATCTTGATATGTGTAATCTAATCTTGACATAGATATATAAAACTTGATGTAAATAAATACATCTTGATATATTGTATCTTTTGGACAAGCATAGGCTACGGAGCTACGTAGCTACGCAGGTTAGGGTTTGGCTGCGGAGCTACACAGTTACGCAGCTTAGTGGCCTGGCGACCTGGCCACCGACTACGCAGCTCGCGCAACGCATGGCTATATATCTCTTTCTTTAATCCATGAGCCGTCGAAAAGAGCGCTCTACGTAAAATACATATAACTCCACGTCTAACCCACATTATTTCGCCACCTAAGTGAACCAATAACTGCATGATGGTTTCAATTGAACCAATAAACTTTGATGTTATACATTTTCTTTCAGTACTTCTAAAACTCCTTTCTTTAAATTTCAAACTCTTTCTGCAAATAAACAGTTCTTGCAACTCGGGGCATCATACCGAAAAACTGTCTCATATCATCTACAATAGTTACAATTAACACAACTCAAATTTCAACGTGTTCATATTTGCTCTTACACTGCTGGAACCGATTCGATAATATTCTTAGATATTTTCAGGACTTGCATTCGTCTTATTATTACAATTTGTAAATTTCTTTAATGTCATTTAAAAATGCCTTCCACAAATCTTCTCCTCTGTTCATGTATCGCCATTTGAACTCAGCTAGGTACGATGAGTAGTGTTCTTTTTTACGACCGTGCGTCGGAAGCTTCGCTTTCATCTGCCGCCAATGACCTTCTATCTTGTTCGTATGGAAACCCTCCTCGTTAACGAACTCCACGGAGTGGTTTACTCTCTTATGGATGTATCCATGTTTTGAAAGGTTTACGTACCCCTTCCAGCAATCGGACACAATTGTTGTTCCTGGTTCAATCCATTCTTTCATTACATTGAGCAAAGTTTCCTCCTTCCTGTCTTCTACGGTGGCAATGAAACATTTACGGGAATCTTCCTCGATGCCACCAAAAACCCACTGACCCTCCACTACATTGCCACGATGGTATTTTCTAGTTTTCAATTTTTCTTTCATCAATCTGTACCACCTTCCCTGGACCACCAATTTTCTCCCTTCTATCGAACAACGCCACCGCGCATACTTCACGACAAAACATGTCCCAGTCAACTGCTGTGTGCGAGCCAAGTCCAAGCTGGTGCTTTATTTGCCACTGCTGTAAGTCCTGGCACCACCAGTACGTAAATTTTAAAACCTCTTCAATTGTCAAGTTCGAATTTTCAAACCAACTTCCCTCTCTAATGCTCTTCTCACATCTATGCCCCTTGCCATCAATATGGCTTGTACATTCCCAGATGTAGCCATCGGATCGATCTCCCCGCTGAACCCAATTTATTTGTGATCCACACATGGTGCAAATTCTACTCGACGTAATCAGCCCTTCTTCCTTTAGCCATGACAGCGTAAACTCTCTGTCCCACAGGTAATTACTTAGCAGATTTTCAATCAATGTGAAGTTCTCTTTCTTCTCATTTCTTTGACACCTTGCTTGAGTGCTGCCGCACTGAGTGCTCTTAACCTTACCCTGTGTGTATTATTACCCCTCAATGAGCTTCATTAAAACAATTCAAACAAAGAAACTATAGAAATGCGAATTTAACATCTATTCCATCTTCTTTGGCCCGCCAACAATTGGAAAATCACAAGCAATAAAGGAATGCGCTATATCACCCATGGAAAGTGTAACAGCAGAAGCAGATTCTGCAAGCCCTGTTATCCAGAAATGTACCTCATCGGGAATGATAAAAACAGTCGTAGGTATCAAAATAGGGTTCCTTTTGTCAGCCGAGATTTACGACGTCCTCTTCAAATTGCTACGTAGCTACTTAGCTACGTAGCTCCCTACCCTTCTATCTCCGTAGCCACGTACCTACGTAGCCTTGTATCTCCGTAGCTATGTAGCTCCGTAGCCACAAAGCTATGTGGCTCCGTAGCTACGTAGCCTTGTATCTCCGTAGCCACGTTGTTACGTAGCCTTGTACCGAATTTATATCCTCGCCCCGTGTACCTCATAAGCGTTGTGGCCACGTAGCCACTATTTTAAGATGTACAACTTCGAGTGGCAGGGTAGTCTGCAGTTACTCCTAAGAACCATGACCGGCAGCCGACCTCGTGTAAAATTTCTGAGTGTCAACATCTGCAACATCTCCGCACTCCCAGTCTGAGCCCTGCGTTAGACATGAACGAGCGTTAGACACGAGATTTATACATCATTTCGCGATCGCTTAGTAGTTCCTCATCGACATATAATATTTTGGATCATGTAGGTTCGCTCAATTTGTTAAATTTTAAGAAAAGTATCATTCAGTCGTTTGAGAACCTTGACCGGCTACTGATCATACAACCACAGAGTACAGAGCGTACCAATTATCGTGAAAAAAAAATAACTTTAAAGTTTCGAAAGAAACATAGCTTCATTCTAACCCTCAAATCACAAAAATCGCCAGAACGTTCTTTTTGTAATACATTTGCTTCTCTTTTGTGCCCGTTTCATTTATTTTTGCGATCTCGTAAGATCGTGCGCTCACAACTGGTTTGTTCTTCCAGCTTGAGGTTGTTCATAATCTCAGTTTAAGACTCCATTGTCACCGATTTCCATATTACTTCAGTCATTTCAATGCTGATTTATCCATGAATATGATGAACATTTCGGAAAGAGAAGAAGGAATTTCGTTCATAAGATGTCATCTGCACTAATTTCCGCCATGTTTCTTTTTGCCCGCGTCCCCCCAATTATTCCCAGAAGTGCTTGCGGCGTGACTTCGTTCCCAGGCTATCACTCTTTTCCAAAGTGGGCTATTGCCGCAATTTGTCTCTTTTAAGCCTGGTTTTCATAAGCGGCGCAAGCACAAGCGCAAGCACAAACGTAAGCATAACAGCTCTCGTTTCACCGTGAAAACAGCAGCGACCCAAGCATACTGAACACAAGCACAAAGATAAAAAATTTCCCTTTTTCTTGTGCTTGCCTTCGCTTATTCCGAGTGAAAACAAAATGCTGCACAATCACAAGGAAATCTTCTACATTTGGCAAAGTCTGGCCAGTTATAGCACTTTCTTCAGTTTCCCCTGCGTCTAACTATTTCAACAAAATGGCGGAGGTCGTTGCTGTAAAGTTTTCCTTGGTTGTTCGCAACTATCAAGTCTTGTATGACAAGGAGTGTAAAGATTTCAAAGAACAAAAAACAGAACAAAAAAGCGCAAGTGTGAACTCGCGTTGGCGAGGAAAAATCACCTCACCCTCTCCTTTCTCCCAAAATATACTTTACTCAAAAGAATTTTGTTCTCCTCTATTTTGTTACCGTTTCGCTTTCTTGAAAGAAACATCAGAACTCGACGCTGCAGCCAGAATGGCCGAGTCGAGATCAACGGAGCCTTGTAACCAGTAAACATGTTGTGCCTATGCTTGTTAACGTTCGTTTTCACTTCGCAGAATTACCTTATGCTTGGGTTTGTGCTTGTGATTGCGTCGCTTATAAAAATCATGTCACGTCACGCACGGTTGTCTTCTTCAATTTCGACTGAGCTATCATGGTCTAGATCTTCATTTGCATGCCCGCTGAACAGTTGCATTGTGCATTTTGCCACCGTTCGGATTAGCCACGAGTTTCTGTGGTTAACTTTCCGATAGTTCCCAGTTTTAGCTGGGGCATACTCGGACACGTGACACCGCGCAAATCAATCGCGCGCGAGTGAAAATAAACGATGAACGTAACAGCAGTCTCGATTCTCGACACGTGCGATTTTCCTTGCTGTAAGAGACATTGATAAAAGTACTATGCCGATGTTGTCTGCCCTCCTGGTTTGAAAGAATACCATGGTGAGAGAGATATCATACCATTTCCCTTGGAGATTCGGAAAACCGGGATTCAGACGTATTTGTTTATTTGTAGGATATTTAGCCGTTGGATTAAGTCATTTTCGTTTTAAACCTTGCCAATGCATTATGCCGTAACTGTAATGTTTGAGTCAGTACGCACACAGCGCCATGCTCAATTCTTAATTACGCAGCAATACCACAGCCCACGTGCAACGTAATGTATGCTAATTATGCTATCTTAAACCTGACAGTATCTTCGCTCATATGCGTCGCTCGGAGGTACCTTATTACGAACGATTTAGTTCTTTAGTTCGAGTTGAAATAAAGTTTTAACGTGTAAGAATTTGCGGCTAGGTGTCAAATTGCTATCATCTTTTTAAATTTCAGAAAATACTTTTTAAAGAAAATACACAAAGTGACTCAAAAGCCAGACACAAAAAATGGCGATCGCTTCTTATTGAACCTTGAACTTGGCGCACAGGACACCAATCAAACATTTCGGCTGTCAGAGCACGTTTACCAAGCGAAGGGCAAAAACGACTTATGCCTTCCTGATGGAATGAACTGGAATAACAGCGCTACGATTTATATCGTTCTACCTGTTAAGGATCAAGGAAACTGGGTGCACTATTTCATTGAACAGCTCACTTACGCCAGCCAGGCCACTGATGACAGTAATTTTCACGTCATTGTGACTGATTTTCAAAGTAAAGACATTGATATGGCCAAGGCTTTCAACACACCTTTACTTCAAAGCAGACATAGTATTGTCACACTAACCGGTTACTTCTACAAGACACTGGCCCTAAACGTCGCCAGTGAGCTTGTTTCCAACCCGGAGGATATCATTTTCCTGTTTGACTTGCATATTGACTTTCCCGTGGATATTTTGGACCAAGTTCGAATGGTAAGTGCTGTCATGCTTGTCTCTATCGGTGAGAAAGGATACTTTCGGATATGCCCCAGCTAAAACTGGGGAATGTCTGAGTTTATTAAAAACTGGATCATTGGATAATGCAATTCAAGACTTTTTATTGGCTTAGCCATTATGGTATATGAGCCAATATACCATAATCTACAAATATGGTAAGCGTACGCATCAGCATAAAATCAAAAGGGAGCTAAAAATCCGGTTTCTTCTTACAAAATAATAATTTCTTGGGGATGTTTTTAATAAAACAGTTAGTCCACTTGCGCTTGTTGGATATGAGATGATTGTAGCCAACTCGACGCTACGCTCCTCGTTGGCCATCTATCATCTCATATCCAATGCACGCTCATGGAATAATTGTTAATTATTAAAAACTTGATCATTGGATAATGCAATTCAAGACTTTTTATTGGCTTAGCCATTATGGTATATGAGCCAATATACCATAATCTAATATCTGTTCATTGTAACATCCAGTTTCTTCTTACAAAATAAAGTCGAGAAGATTTGTCTAATATCTTGGGGGAGTTTTTTTTTAATAAAACAATTATTCCACTCGCACCTGTTGGATATGAGGTGATTATAACCAACTCGGTGTTACGCGCCTCGTTGGCTATCTATCATCTCATATCCAATGCGAGCTCGTGGAATAATTGTTAACTATAACCCAAGTGATATCCCTCAATTTTAAAACCTTAGGTATACTACGATGAAAGCGTTTGCTTAAATTTGATTCAAGATAAGAGAGAGCGTGTAGTTATGGTTACAGAAGAAGGGACATGTTGGTTTGTTCATAAAGTCGTACCAGAGAACACTTAAAAGTAATCATCCCACGCAGCAAACAGTAAGCTGTTTGTAAACATTTTTCCGTGCATTGTAAAAATATTTGAAGGATCCTAAACACAATAGCCTCTATTTGGCACGAACATTTTTCCAAGAGCTAAACTCGAGGAAAACTGTGAGCTTCTAGTAAAAAATAATGACCAGGGACAAATATACGAGCATATTTTTGCGCCAAGTGGAGGCTATTGTTCATTTATGCTTGTGATTGTTGGAAATATCGAGATGTCTAGAAATTAAAGAATCCACAACAGTTCTCAATATCAACTTGATTAAACCTTGACGTTTCCAGTAAAGAAAACAATTTTTGATCACATGGACCATATATAGAAAGCATCAAGGCGTTCGTGTTTGCCCATAACATTTTGTATTCCTTAAAACTTCGCTTTTGTACTGAAAGTTACAAGAATGTAGGATGTTATCTATATTTGTAGAATACCATTAGTGGTCGAATGGCTTATTTTCCTATCGTTGGCCGACTGAATTGTGACAGCACTTCAGAAGAACATCTAGGGTTTTGGCAATGGAATGGGTTTGGAATTGCGTCTATGTTTAAATCTGATTGGGAGAGATTCGGGGGTAAGTACAATTATTTGAATATCATACGTCTGGCTAAATAAATCCAAGTGCTGGCCATTCATTAGTTCAGCCGGTGGAGCACCAGGCTTCCATGTAGAGGTTTGAGCTTTAGACCACTCCAACACCTAGGGTCATCTTGTAAAGTGAATGAGGAAACGTTAAAAAACCCCATTTAGTTATCTCAAAAACTGGAGTGCAATGGTGTGGCCTGGTTCTTGGGGATATCTGCTTTGTAAGCTGCTGAATGCAGTCGAGTTAAGCCATGGTTAGTGTTGTGAAGCACAGATACATTGCCATAGGATTGTCATCATATTGTAACTTTCTTTGAGGTCTTTGCTCTAAAATAGATCTTAAAGTCCTCATTATCTGTTTAGTCCATGTAGCAAGTCCATGTAGCAAGCCCTGTCCTACTGAATTGGCCAAAATTGGAAATCAATATGTAATGAAATCTCTGTTACACTGCAGTTGTTGTTCAATTATTATGTGGCCAAGAGTCATATATAAAGTGTTAACCTGAAGTCTATGAAAAGTTTGTAATTTGCAATTGGCTTTGCAATCCAAGTTAATCCTGTCTGTACAGGCCATCATCACTCCCTTTTGGTTCAGACCACATCTCAACTGAGTTCTTTGAAACTGGGACAATCCTAGCAGCCAATCAAAACAAAGACAAATGTCTCAAAGTACGATTGAGAATTTAATGTGCAAAAAAAGGGCAAGCTGTCTAGAGCACGGGAAACACTACCAATCTAGTCACAATTGTTTCTAGTTTCAGAGCTGATGGGTTGAGAGGATTGCGTGAGGTTTAATTTTTTCAGACCAACCACCTGTGATGTCGAAGTTCAAAGGAATGCATTCCCGGATTCCCAGAACACCTCTACACTCCACTGAAAATAGCTCTATGTGGTTTAATTCCTTTATGTAATTTCTTCATCTTCTTTGTTAGGGATGAATGTTCTGGAATACAAATACAAATGGGGTGGGGAAGAGTGGGACCTTCTAGACCGTGTGATGCAGCTACCCTTGGAAGTGGAGCGACTTAGGCACCCAGGCCTCTATCATCATTATCATGCCAAAATGAAAAAGTGGAATTAGGATGGGATCAGTGAGATGAGTCAAGAATAATAAATGAGGTTCAAACTTACGATTCAAGAGGTCTAACACAAGAATTGCCATGGATATCTATGATATAAATTTTTAAATAAGAATGTTGGATGAGATCCAACAGATTCCTTTTTTATGCACTTCGATTCATCTTTAAACTCTTTGCCGTGTAAAAACCAGGCTGATTAGCAGTTTGGTATTAGTTTAGGAAGTCTCTCGATGAATTTTACTTTGTGTAGCATTGTTACTCAAGGTTATCGGTAGTTAGTCTTATTTTGTTATTTTGATCTATTTCCATTTTTTTCCTTTAAACATCCCATTGACAACAGTACTTATGTACTGATGGGCTATCGTGTATAAATATTTGTTATTCTTAATATCATTGATAAAATTAAAGTAAATGAATTTAAACTTGTTTACTTTCTGTGGCTTTTCTCAGCTTTATCGAGGATACAGACTGCAGCTGTGAAACAGCAACAAAAAACAATCATCAGTAAAGAAAATAGGTTATCATAAAATTTGAATAGAAAGCGAGTTAGGAGGATGTATTAGCAAGGAAATAACAATGCTAGGAACCAAGAAATTGTTAAACACTGATAAAGGACCATAGAAATTTGCTAATTGTGACTAAGTCAACTCGAATAATGAGTAAGGCAAACTTTAAGTCCTTTTACTTGAAGTACAGTTTTCAGTGAATTATTATTGGTTTACACGAGTTTGCTCAGTCGAGACGCTTATGAAAATTCTCTTCATAAATGACATCTTTATGGAATACACGGTGTTAGGTTAAAGTCATTTGTCACATTATTTATTCTTTCGTTACAATACGTACAGTGAAATGGGTACAATTAAGTTCCCTAGGGCTCCATTTCAGATCGTTCGTTGTTTCTGCTGTATGTGAGGGATCTTTATAGATAAATGTGTCTATGGATTTGGAGTTTTTTTGTGGTTAAGTTTTTTCTTATTGTTTTTTAACTAATTTATTACACGAGTGAATACTTGACAATTTACAAAAACAATACAGAGTGCATAGTTTTCTACACTTCCAGTTTACAGTTATCATAATAATGATAAAACAAAGTGAAAACAAACAAATCACAAGAAACACTATGGGTTCAAGAAACAACATAAAGAAAAACTAATCGCCAACATAATTTAATTTTTCCTTTTTTTGTTGTGTTTAGTCATCTGATTTTGATTTGCTGCTCTTTTTCATAGATTGTTTTAACCTTGACTAAGAATGTGTTTAATGTTGAATCTTTACCATTTACTATTTGCCCTCATGAATAAAGAATTTTGTTATGAATATCAAGTAATTTGATATAACATTGATGTAAGGTTGCATTAGCAGGTTCCAGGCCATGGTTGTTCAAAAGTTGGATAATGGTATCCACTAGATAAATCTTTATCTGG